CTGCACTAAGACTTTTGGGACACCCTGTATAAGATTCTCTAACATGTTTTTAATTTCCCAATTAAATAACAGCAATCTCTAACACTATCCATTTAAATTCCGTAGGTTTTGAACCTTTGTTTACTTCATATTAAAGCCTCCTTGAGTGAATCGTGAGGCAGCTAAATGGTGCAGTGGATTTTGGGATTTTATAAATCTACATTTCCAATTATTATATATCTGAAAAACTGGGCCCACCTGCACTTTTTTTTTTTGGCCACAGAACCTCTTGTATCCTCCTTGCCCCAGTAAGCCATCATAAGCCCTTGAGCCAGACTTGTGAACTCAGCTCTAAAGTCTTTGTATTATCAACTCATCAGGAGGCATAACTAAGGCTGATTTCTGATCCAGAATCTTTGTCCAGCCTGTGTGTGATTTCGTATGTTTCCTCTGTTAAGATGCGGGTCTTTTCATCCAGCTTTCTGACCAGGTGTCTAGCACGAAAGCTCAGAGTTTGGATTTGAGACAATTACTGGATATCTTTAAGTTCCAAAGGGACAGAGGCCCTTCCCAAAAGGGTTTTACTAAAAGCCTCTAAATCTGCCAGTCTATTTTCAAAGAAGAAAAGACAAGAGTGTGCTGGAAGGTGGAATCCTGGGTTTCCTTGCCAGATGCCAAGCTAACGAGCTTTGTGACTCATGGAGAGAGCAGCTTCAGACTCCTGGAATGTCAGGCTCTCTATCTGTTAATTAAGAAGAACACCAACTGGCTAGCCCAGGTTCAAAATTGAGGACACAGCCTGGTAGAATAACAATAAGTCACCCTTATATAGTGTTTGAGGTTTACAAGATATTTTCCTAACAACCCTGTGAGGAAGGGAGTATCAGTATTATTACCGCATTTTACAGATGAGTTAATTTTGAAGTTCATGGAGGTCAAGTGATTTGCCTGGGGTCACAGAGCAAATTAACGTCAAAGCTGGAATCCCAACTCAGCTTCTCGTGACCCAAAGTGCAGCATTCTTTCCATGACATCATGCTACTGGACTAATCTTATTATAACATAATGGGTGATTAAAGGTTTTGGCGTGTGTCTTAAGTCACAGCTATATCCCTCAAATGCAACTCATAGTAATAATATAACCATAATAGCCTAATATATATGACAGCTTTTAAGCTTTTGTTTTTTTTTTTTTTGGTTAGGCAATGGGGTAAAGTGACTTGCCCAGAGTCACACAGCTAGTGAGTGTTATTCTGAGGCTGGATTTGAACTCAGGTCTTCCTGACTCCAGGGCCGGTGCCCTATCCACTGT